ATCACAGCGAAACAGACAGTACCCGTCAAGGCTCACAGCGCTGTCAGGAATGTGTGGTTTAAACCACGTTTCAGATACCACGATACAGTGGAAGAAACGGTTTTTAAAATAGTGCCGGAACTCATCAATGTGAGCAGCTACTGATTGAGCATTGACGTGGCACAGACTGATCCCGGTAGGCAGGCGAGAAGCGGGAGCGGATTGCGGCGAAGTTGGCCATCATATCGGTATCTTGGCAAAGTCATCCCGGTGTTCAATCTTTAGGGAGGAAGTGGCGCCGTCCTTCCTAATGTAAATGGAGCCGTGGCGTGTCCAGACCCTGAGGTGACGGTGAGGCTTCACATAGGTGCGGGTGTCGACGAGAAGTTCGTGCTTGACAGAGGATAGACGCTCATTGAGGTACACACGAGAACCCGGTAAAGACGCGTCAATATCCGAGGCCAAAAGCACAGGCTTTTTCTTCTTCTGAGCGATCCATGAGTCCCGAATGAAAATAGTAGCGAAGCGAATTACGAGTGGCAGAGCACCTCCAGCCTTGGGTGGTAGGCGAAAGGCATTCATAACGTCGCCAGACTTGGTGACAATGCCCAAAGAGCGAGTGAGGAGCACAATGGTCCTCTCAACGGTAACATCAGGAGCAGAAAGAAGCCCTGTGACAACTATCTGTGTGTCAAGGTTACGCTGCATAATATGCTCGACCTGAGCTTTAAGAGCAGCACCATCATCAGAGGAGAGTTTGGGATCCCGAGAAAGTCGTTCCTCAAGGGAGTCTACACGTTGTACTAACGCAGTATTATGCTCCTCGAGAGTCTGACATCGTGCCGTCAGGGAAAGATTAGCTGCCTCAAGAGAACTGCATCTAGTGCTCATGGCTGACATGTCAAGTGCCAGCTGTTGTACAGAAGTGGCCATATCCTGCGTGGTCACTGTAAGCTCAGACACAATGCCCTTTATGATAGGAAGTTCTCTTAAGTCGGTACGTTGATTCTTAAGCTTATCCATAATATCTTTCACCAGTGCGGTTAAGGAGGTTAACTGGGCAGACGTTGAAGTTGACGAAGAAGCAGTAGATTTATCCATGATGGTCCGGGCAGAAAGTCGAGTATGTGGAGTGATCTTGTCTGCAGAGAGGCCGATACCTTCAGAAGATGGCAACGGTGAGTAGCAGGGCTTGCAGCGGAGGCACAGGAATTGTGGAGCCGTGTTGGACCCACCAGTCAGACACGAAGGATGAGCATAAGCATTGCAAGCAAAACTAGCGCACTTAACAGCCTTGGTGACGGACTCGAACATTTTGCACGCATCACAGTGCACAGCACGCACGGGTGCATGAAGGAGTTGTAAATAAGTGACAGAACCATACAACCATTTACAGCCGATAAGACAGTTTGGTAGGCGGCAGATTATATAGTTCTGTATATAGTTACGCTATTTGTATAGTCTTTATATAGTTAGGCAAAACAGACGAACGTAAACACACCGAGAAGCACGCTAACAGCTGACCGATTGGAACTGATAAGAACAGCTGTGACACGCATGCGCAGAGATATCAACGGCTCGCACGACAATTTTCACGCACGCACATTGAAGGCAGAAAAAGGAAACTAAATTAAAACAAGAATATGTACTCAGAAAATCTACAATGGCACTTGAACACACACGCGCGCACAATCCCACACGTAGGCACAGGAAGATGTGAGTTTATGAACAGATAGACTTGAAAATTATTAATTGCCAGAGCAGAACAACAAAGAGACACCCGTACAGCGGCCATTACCCAAGCAAAGAGAGAGAGAGAGAGAGAGAGAGAGAGAGGGGGGGAGGGGGAGGGAGAGGGAGAGGGAGTCGAGTTGACGAAAAATAAAAGTAGGTATCCCGATATAAACAGCCTGACGAACGACAATACCGAGAAAATATTGCCGCCGCTGAGAGACACTGAGCCATTTTAGGGTACGTAGATGCGGGGTAATGTGCTCGTATTTACGGATCCCTAGAATAAAACGAACGCAGGCGTTTAAGATTCGCTGTAATCTGATGTTTTCCTCGGTGGTAATGTCTAGAAATACTAGAGAACAGTACTCAATAAGCGGAAGAATCAAGGATAAAACGAGTTGTTGTTTAAGCGCTCTACCTAGAAACTGTCCATTGGCTCTTAATTGGTAGAGGGTCTTATATGCCCTATTATAGATGCTAGTGACATGCTGTTGCCAATTAAGTGTCGGAGATATGAGGACTCCTAAGTTCTTGGCCGAGTTGACGAACAGTATTATGGAGCCATTGACGACAACATTTCGAATATCCTCGAATCTGAGGGCATTGACATACCTGGAAGAACCGAGTATCATAGCTTTGGTCTTAGACGGGTTCAACCGAAGTTCGTTCTCTTTAGACCATTCACAAATACGCACGATGTCTTCATTGACCTTCGCGATAAAGAGATTCAAAGCGGTCGGAGCACAGTGAATATAAATTTGGAGGTCATCGGCATATTTAATTATAGAGCAGTTTTGGATTTGTTGGTCAATATCTGCAATATAGAGAGAGAAAAGCGTTGGACCCAAAACTGAACCCTGGGGGACCCCCGAAGAGACAGCTGACCACTTTAAAGTGCCATGAGAGGTGCAGACAGCCTGCTTACGACCGGTCAGATATGACCAGAACCAATTTAAGGTAGACCCGAAAAAATTTAAGAGTGCAAGCTTATTAATCAGCAAAGCATCATGCACCGTGTCAAAGGCCTTTAAGAAGTCAAAAAGCACCAGCACAGTGACCATTCGATCGTCAATGGTCTGGCGAACATCGTCAGTGAGCCTGATGAGAGCATTCTGCGTAGGTCCGCCTGAGATAAACCCAAACTGTGATTGATGAAGGTACCCGCAGCGCTTTAGATAATGTAACATGTCTTTACCAACTATGCGTTCCAGCAACTTTGAAAAATTGCAAAGGACCGAGATCGGTCTGAAGTCATTAGAGTCTGATGGATTGGGCTTCTTCCGCACAGGAACAGTAATAGAGCTCTTCCAAGTGATAATTTTTC